GAATTCCAGCTGCTCTCGCGTGGTAGACTTGGAAAAAAAGCAGATTTTTTTTTTAAAAAAGGATGCATATCCATACAACGATGCAAAAGATACTATGGACTAACATTACGATGGAACCACAGTTATTCCTTGCTAGGATTTATGGTTAAGGAATTAGAAATGTGGGAAATTGTTATCGTATCTCTATCTTTTATCTCTGTCTTCTATATCTCTGTCTCTCTGTCTCTCTCTGTCTCTGTTTCTCTCTCTCTCTCTCTCTCTACCTATCATCTGTATCTCTCTCTCTCTCTACCCACCCACCTATGGGTATCTATCTATCTATCTATCTATCTATCTATCTATCTATCTAATCTAATCTAATCTAATCTAATCTAATCTATCATCTGTCGCTCTCCATCCATCCATCCATCCATTGATCTATCTATCTATCTATCTATCTATCTATCTATCTATCTATCTATCATCTGTCTATTTATCTATCTCGTTCTTTCTTGCTTTCTCGCTCTCCATCCATCCATCCATCCATTGATCTGTCTATCTATCTATCTATCTATCTATCTATCTATCTATCTATCTATCATCTATCTCTCAATCATCTGTCTATCTATCTATCTACCTACCTATCTAATTTATCATCTGTCTATTTATCTATCTTCTTGCTCTCTCTCGCTCTCCATCCATCCATCCATCCATCCATCCATCCGTCCGTCCATCCATCTATTATCTATTATTATCTCCTCTCTATTATCTCTCTTTCTCTCTCTCTCTATACCTACCGATTCGCTCTCTCTCTAATCCATCTTCCCTCTCTCTTTCTCTCTAAATCTATTTACTCATTCTGTCTAGTCTATCTTCCTACTCTCTCTCTCTCTCCCCCCTCCAAATGAATCTTTTGATAAGTTGGTTTTTCTGTGTGTGTGTGTGGGGGGGGGGGAGGACCAATTTGCCAATCAAGGAGCTTGTGGTCTTGTGGGAAAATTTAAAGGAGAGGTGTTACCCATATCCACCAAAGCATTGCTTGGATCCTTGCCAATTCTGTTGATTCTCAGATCCCAAAAGATTAAGGGCTATGAATAATCACAGCAATGGTAATGGGTGATAATATGACTCATTGGAAGCATCCAGGATACGAAGAATATTGATTGTTGGGAAAGCACGAGGCCCATAAAGCATTCGGGGATTGACGAAACAATATTCTTGCTAAGTGGCATATTCACACAATCACCTTTTATGGTGTTCCCATGTCATGACTTGTGGTTACAGCAATACCCTTATTTATTTACCTACCCAATACATTTAATGGGGTTGGTGAAGGGCCTGCTGGTTGATGCTGCATTGCCAATAAACCAGGTTTCTTTTCACCATTCAGGGTGCTCAAAATCTGTGTTTATATTGGTAGCTTTGTGGGAATGCAGTTAGTTAATTTATGATTTGGTACCAGAAAATGTACAAATGTAAGCACTGAATATATGATTTTGAATATCAAAGCCACCAAACCAAAGAACTAAACAATATTTTCCACAGCCACCCCAGTAAACTCTGATCATGGCTAACGCTGGCCTACCTTGCAGGACTTAACAGTACAATGCAAGCAAAGGTACATTTATCAATTATTTGATTAATGTAGCCACCCATCTCAATTTTACCGGACTCTAGGCACCTTGCAAAAAAACCAAAACCACAAAAATACACAATAAAAAACACAATTAAATACAAAAAAAAAAAAAGCATAGTAGCTGGGCATACACCTTCCAGTTTTGACTGAGAGAGGTTGTCTGTTTTTCTTCCACACAACAAAAAAAAATACGTAGCAGCTGTGCTATACATCACCCTGAAGCAGTTGTGATAAACATTGGGTAGAAATATAAATCTTCCTTGGCGGAAGCACGAAGAAAAGCAGAACCCTCTCAATGGAAGTGGAAGGTAGTTTAACTGTATTCAGACCAGCATTGAAACAAGGATTCTGGAAGGCACGTCCAGAATGCTAGTCTAAATGCAGTTAAACCAGTGGTGGAATTCCATTTTTTTTTACTACCGGTTCTGTGGGTGTGGGCTTGGTGGGCGTGGCTTGGTGGGCGTGGCAGGGGAAAGGATACTGCAAAATCCCCATTCCCTACCCACTCCTGGAGGAAGGATATTGCAAAATCTCCATTCCCACCCACCCTGGGGCCAGTCAGAGGTGGTATCTGCCGGTTCTCCGAACTACTCAAAATTTCCGCTACTGGTTCGCCAGAACCTGTCAGAACCTGCTGAATAGCATGCCTGAATTAAACCACCTTCAGTTGAGATGGTGCTTTTCAGATTTCCAATCGGAGCTCCAGAGAATTACTACAAGGGCTGAGCTGAAGAGCAACAAAGATGATTAAGGGACTGGAGGCTAAAATATCTGAAGAACGTTTGCCGAATTGGGTATGTCTAGTCTAATGAAGAGAAGGACTAGGGTGGGACACGATAGCAGTCTTCCAATATTTGAGGGACTGCCACAAAGAAGAGGAGGTCAACCTCTTCTCCAAAGCACCAGAGGGCAGGACAAGAAGTAATGGATGGAAGCTCATCAAAGAGAGAAGCAACCTAGAACTAAGGAGAAACTTCCTAACAGTGAGAACAATTAATCAGTGGAACTCCTTGCCACCAGAAGTTGTGGGTGCTCCATCACTGAAGGTTTTCAAGAAGAGACTGGACAACCATGTGTGTGGAATGGGATACAGTCTCTTGCTCGAGCAGGGGAGGTTGGACTAGAAGTCCTCCGAGGTCCCTCTCAACTTTGTTCTTCTGTTATTTTAAATCATTGTACACCAGTCAGGAAAGCTATTTACTCCACGATTTTCATGCTAATATAGTTTGACATCAAATCATCAGCAATTTGCAAGAATAGGTGCAGAAAATACCTAATGCCTTTTTTGAAGGCTTGCTGTGAGATGAGATAGACAGATTGACAGCTAAACCTCAATGCGTGGCAACCCGCTGTGCTTCTATTTTCTTTCCTTACATATCACTTCTCGCCTTCAATATTTATTAATTATTAAATTTATATGCCACCCATCTCATGGCTTGAGACAGCCCTGGGTGGGATAATGTGGATTAGTGAGAGCTTAATTTAAAAAGAAAAAAAAAAGGATTAGACTATTGTTTTCCATTATTTCCCACGCTGATTTGGTCCAAATCTTCTGAATTCCAACTCCGAGAACTTCAGGCTAATAGAGTTAACAGACATATACATGGAAGGCATTTTGGCAATTTGGCCATTTTTGCAAATGAGCATAGGCCAAGAGGACTTGTACAGAGGTGTCCAAATGACATCCCTGAGAAAGTTCATCCTTTTCTATTGATAGTTGGTTTCCAGCAGACACTCATAACCTTGGTTGAACAAGGGAGCAAATGCAATAGAACTGGGATCACCCACTCAAGATGTCAAACCTGGAGCCAGAGAATTGCATAGAAAAACCCCCGCCAAAGTTTCAACATTTCCCTAAAAACCCAACACGGTGGTGACCCAATTGTAATTTAGAAAGAAGAGTATTGGTGTGAGAACTAGCAAGAAGATTGGTGAGGCAAAAATAAAGGAGACTATTTGGAGCTCAGGGATGAACTGTCGAGTCCTTCATGCTCTCTAAGCTTGGTTGTCTTCTTGAAGACGTTTCATGGCCCAAACTAGGTAACTTCCATCAGCATTCATCAGTTTGGATAATAAAACATCTGCAAGAAGACAACCAGGCTCAGAGAGCACCAAGGATCTGTCGTTAGACCAAAATCTTGGTCAATTGGATCGGACAGAAATTAGAAAAGCTAATCAGGACCCTGGACAGAGCTTGCTATCTGTCCTCAACACCCATGGTTCATTTGATTTGATGAATTGCATTGAGCCAAACAGGTGATTCAGATTGATAAAATGTCTTCCTGTCTCGGTTAAAAAACAACCGGCAAAGTGGTTTGTGATTGGCACTCAATTTGATGCAAACACCACCACCCCGCCCAGAGCTGTTTAAAGATTTAAGTCAAAAGAGAGAGGCAATTGATTCTCCTCCAAAGAGAACCAACTGATCCAAGCATCCCACAACCCCAAAGATTTTGGGAACGATTCTTAAAAGTCCATAATTCTGAGTATTTATCAAGATGGAAATGGTTAAAAATGAGATGGCCGTGGAAATCTAGGATTTAAAAAAAAAAAAACTAATGGGAGGAAGACTTTAATGCTGAAATCAAAGGGAGAGGTCCTTGATGCTCTCTGAGCTGGGTTGTTTTGTTGCAGACGTTTCATGACCCAACTAGGTAACATTATCAGTACTAGAAGGGGGTGGGGTTTATGGAGAGGAGGAGTGGGGGAGGACTGTGAGGTCCTGGATGGTCTCGTTTCATGACCCAACTAGGGAACATAATCAGCACTAGAAGGGAATGGGGTTTGTGGAGAAAAGGAGAAGGAGGAAGTTTTACTGCCAGCACTGATGATGTTACTTAGTTGGGTAATGAAACATCTGTAATAAGACAGTTCAGACAAGTTCAGAGAGCACCAAGGGCTCCTCATTTCAACCCTGAGCTACAAATATTCTCCATTATGGGTGAAATCAAAGCTGCAGAGAGCTGGCCGGACATTCTAACCAACATTGAATGTGTTTTTACAAAAACGTTTGACAGCCAATGTCGATTCAATTTGGATTGTCTCCTGAAGCAAGCATTAGAGTCCTGATTGCATCTTTTAACTAATTCTGTGATGCATGACACACATGAGAATCATCTTATAAAACACAAATTACCAGTCTTGATGTAGCAGAAGAAGGAGGCGTTCAGTTTGAAGTCGCCGCGCAGCCACGAGAGACCCACATTCAGCCCTCCTTGAATTCCGCTGACTCTTTCCTAGAGCCAATTTACCATTAGTTGACTAGATTCTTCTATTTGAGGTAGCAATAATAAACTCTTCTTTGCTTTGAACTCAACGAATGCTGCTGGTTATTTGCACCTGACACTTTATCAGGGGATGAGGGGAGGCTGCAGTGACCAGCAAAATGAAACCAACTTACAGGAGAGCGTTTTTATTTTTCAAGCGATGGTAAACCAGCATTAGGAACCCGCCAAGATGATGCAGTGTTCAACAGCTCAGTTGAAACAGCCGAATAGATATTAAGGGATTCAGCTCTGGAGATGGTGGAGAAAATGGATGCTTTTCCCAAGAGTGGAATGAAAAGCCGAACGGTCAAGCGATGAAATGAAATTAAGCAAAGGGAGGCATGAGAGGAACGTTTTAGAAAAAGACAGCTTGACAGTTACAGCTCTTAGTCCTCGGGACGGCGGCTTCCCATGGGAAGCCGGGAGAAAAGGCTGTAATTTAAGATATTTCAAGCAAGACTTGACCGAATACCACAGACCACATCGGAAGAGGATGTTTGCTGGAGAAAACAGGAGCTTAGAGCAGCCAAGCCCGTCAAAGAGCTGCTCAGGAGAATCAGGATCGCAAGGAACCCCGAGCATCATCAAGCAGGACCTTCTGCAACACAGAGGAAATCACATTGGGACACCACACACAAAGAATATTCAGGCTCTAGAAAGTAGGAAGAAGGTGCACAGTGGGAGACATTATGCACGTTTGGTCTAGCAGTCAGGGCACCAGGCTAGATACCAGGAGACGGTGAGTTCTAGCTCCACCTTACGCAGGAAAGTCAGCTGAGTGACTTTGGGCCAATCACCAGGAGGCAGTGAGTTATTGTCTCGCCTTAGGAAAGGAAGGAAGGAAGGAAGGAGGGATGGAGGGAGGGAGGAAAGGAGTGAGAGAGGGAGGGAGGGAGGAAAGAGAGACAGAAGGAGGGAAGAAGAAGAGAGGAGGGAGGGAGAGAAGGAGAAAAAGGAAGGGAGAAAAAGGGGGAAGGAAGAGAAGGGAGGGAGGGAGAGAGGAAGGAAAGTAGGGAGGGAGGGAGGGAGGAAAGAGAGGCAGAAGGAGGGAAGGAAGATGGGAGGAGGGAGGGAGGAAAGGAGAAAAAGGAATGAAGGAGAAAAAGGGAAAAAGGGGGAAGGAAGAGAAGGGAAGGAGGGAGGGAGGGAAGGGAGGAAGGAGGGAGAGGGTAGGGGGAAGGGAGGAAAGAGAAGCAGAAGAAGGGAGGGAAGGGAGGGAGAGAGGAAGGGAGGGAGGGAGAGAGGAAGGAAAGAAGGGAGGGAGGTAGGAAAGAGAGGCAGAAGGAGGGAAGGAAGATGGGAGGAGGGAGGGAGGAAAGGAGAAAAAGGAATGAAGGAGAAAAAGGGAAAAAGGGGGAAGGAAGAGAAGGGAAGGAGGGAGGGAGGGAAGGGAGGAAGGAGGGAGAGGGTAGGGAGAAGGGAGGAAAGAAGCAGAAGAAGGGAGGGAAGGGAGTGGGAGGGAGGAAAGAAGGAAAAGAAGGAGGAAGGGAGGGAGAGGAAGGAAAAGGGAGAAGGAGGAGGGAGAAGGAGGGAAGGAAGAGGGGGGGAGGGAGGGAGAAAAAGGAATGAAGGAGAAAAAGGGAAAAAGGGGGAAAGAAGAGAAGGGAAGGGAAGGAGGGAGGGAAGGGAGGAAGGAGGGAGAGGGTAGGGAGAAGGGAGGAAAGAAGCAGAAGAAGGGAGGGAAGGGAGGGAGAGAGGAAGGAAAGAAGGGAGGAAGGGAGGAAAGAGAGGCGGAAGGAAGGAGGGAAGGAAGGAGGAAGGGAAGGAAGGAAGGAGAAAAAGGAAGGAAAAGGCGAAGGGAAGGAAGGAAGGAAGGAAGGAAGGAAGGAAAGAAGGCTGATTTTAGATGATTTACTAACAAATTTGAGTGCTCTGTGTATGAGCTTGTGAATGTCATATAGGCAGACATCTGGCCTTTAGTGAAACCCTGAAGACTCAAGCCTGCCGCAAATGAAGAATCACACAATATCGTATTCTGCATCATGCAAGAGACACCCTGCTTTTTAAAACACCACATGGCAATTTGCTGAAATGTTTGATCTTAATTTGTAGGTGTTTTTGTTTACGCGTGCAGCTTTTTTTCTTTTTTTCTTTTAAACAAAGAAACGGAGTTGCTAAAAGAGAACAACGCTTACCCAACGCTGGAAGAGATTTTAACATCTTCTTGTTAAGATCCAAAGAGCAACAGACTTTCCAGAGGCAGAGATGAAGAAAATATTCAAACTTTTCTGAAAAGAAAATGGGACAACGCGGCGGATTATATTCCTATTACAAGTTCCCGGCAGACATCTTTGATTTATATGATGTGGGAAGCTCCCACGGGACCGATCAACAAGCAGCATTGTTTACTGCCACCAAGAAAAAAGGACATCTCTGATCACAAAAGCTTCTCTCCGGTTCTGAGAACAGCTGAGCTTTAAAAAGAAACCGGCAAAGATCTTTTTAGGAACCCAACTTTCTGCTAATGGCATATGGGTTACAGATGTTGAAAAGACACAACCTTGAAATCTGGCTTGGTCTACACAATATATATATATTCCTTGGGGTTTTTGCTCCTTTGCAGTGTGCTAAATTGAGCATTGTGGGAAAAGCAAAGATTGAATACAGAATAATAACAGAAGAGCAGATGGAGAGATGGGGCATCCACAATTTCTGGAGGGAAGCCGTTCCACTGTAGTTCTAACTTTTAGGACATTTCTCCTTAGTTCTAAGTTGCTTCTCTCCTTGATTAATTTCCATCCGTTACTTCTTGTCCTGCCTTCAGGTGCTTTGGAGAATAATTTGATCCCACCCCTCTTCTTTGGGGCAGCCCCTCAAATATTGCAAGAATGCCATCATGCCTAATTCAAATTTTGAGATCTCCAACGCAGCTCCTGTTTATCCCTAAATAATTCCCTGCCTTTAATCATGAGACAGGGGCCTTCTCTCCACTCTAAATTCGGCTCTAAACAATCTTCATTGGACAAAAGCACGAAGCCGAAAACATCAGCCTGAAGATGACGAATGAGACTTTGTCGAAACGTCGCCAAGACACTTCCAATTTTACACAGGAGAAAACCCGAATAACCAAAGACCTACATACAAACACCCGCGAAAACCTCAGAAAATAGATAGATAGATAGATAGATTCAAATAAGCATTCTGTGATTAAATCTTCCACTAAAAACAATCCATATGGGCTGACTTTGTTTTATCGCAAACAAAAAGCTACACAAATAATACCCTTCTTCTAAGTGTTTAATCCTTGCATAGCAAAGACAACCTCGCCCTCACACAAGGAGATTCAGAGGAAAAAAAATAATAACAAATCTCCGTTTTTTGCAAAAAAAAGAAGAAAAAAAAACAACCCACCCCAAACCCTTATTCAAAATCAGAAAGAGTAAACATTTTAACGGCTAGCATTTATGTAAATGTCTTAATGGTTATTTACTTTATTCATTGGAATCTGCTTCCTTTTATGTGGCAACATGAAACTTACCACTATGTTCTATTTAGCTGTCACTCAAATAGAAACTGTTTAAAGAATTGTGAATTTATGTAAGGAATCAGGAAGACATGCCGGCTAGAGTACCCCAACGGCAGAACCTCGACTTATGACCACAACGGAGCCAAACAGTTGTGTTTGGACGGTTGTTTCTGTTTTTTCTGTTCTTTCTGTTGAGACGGATATTAAGTGAGTTTTGCCTCATTTTACGACCTTTCTTGCCACCGTTGTTAAGTGAATCACTGCAGCTGTTAAGGTTGTTATTTGAATCTGGCTTCCTCCCTGATTCTGCTTGTCAGAAGGTCGCAAAACGGGATTACGTCACCCCGGGGACACTACAATCGTCATAAATATGAGTCAGTTGCCAAGCGTCTGGATTTTAATCACACGTGGCCATAGGGATGAGGCAATGGTCGTAAGTATGAAAAACGGTCATCGATCACTTTTTTCAGTGCCTTTGAAACTTCAGGCGGTCACTAAATAAATAGTTGTAAATTTAACAAATAATTTAACAAATAATAAGGATAATTTATTTAGTTCTTTTGTATAAACTTACCCAATCTATTGCCCTGGCCAAGAGGGTTGGTTTAGATGACCTCGAAGATCCCTTCCAATTATTCTTCCCTACGGGTACAGGTAGAATGTATTTATATCCTGAAAAAAGCATGCATTCGTCAAAATTCTGAAATGCAGCCTAAAACTACACACACGTCTACGTCAAAAGAAAATGACAGGTATTAATTTTCCTTGTCAACAATGTATATATTAAGGAGCACATCCAAAACGCTCAGAGAGAGAAAAAAAAGGGTATAGAAAATTACAAAGATTGGAACTATATTCGACCAAGAGTTCAAGAAAGCTTTTTTTTTTTTTTTTTAAAGAAAAATCACAAACCAATGCAGGAATTAACGCTCTCAATAAGAGGAAAAAAAGAGGTGAGAAACGGAATAAACCACGGGCTAGCTAATTGCTAATTTCTCAGGAGTTGTACGTTTTAAGTATTTTCCTTTAACTATTTTCATTCTGGATTTCTTTTTCAACATTTTTTCAACCTTCACTAGCATACAGTTTCGTTCGCCATGCTTTCTAAAACATTTTCCTAATTTACAGTCCCACGCGGCTGTTGACCCTAGACTCATTTTTGCTAAATATATAACGGGGGTGGGGGGGGGAAAGCTGAGCGAATTTTGGACTGAAGAATGATAGCCGTGTCGAGCGCTGTTTTCTTGTCATCCTGTCAACACCACCACAAAAATCTATTTTGAGCCACACTGATCTTTTGCTGTCATAGAAATCTGGCCCCGTGTGTGTGTTTTTCTGTGTGTTTGTGTGTGTGTGTGTGTGTGTATGTGTGTGTGTGTGTGTGTGAGAGAGAGAGAGAGAGAGAGAGAGAGAGAGAGAGAGAGAATGGGTTGTGAACACGGAAAGGCCTTTTCGGATGCAAAAAAAGAAAGACAGATGGGCTTTATCGCAAAAAGTTCCTTCCCTCTCCAAGGTCTTCGCCCAGCCTCTCAGTTCTGCTCCTGCACTTTCAATTAAGCCCTGGAATTAATCTCTCACAACAGACCCCGTGTCATGATTGTTGCCTTTTTTGGGGGAAAATAATCATTTGCGATGGAACTCCTAATTACTTTTTTTGCCGATGCTCAATGGAGGGAGGGAAGGAGGGAGGGAACGACTCGTGAAGAAGTGGGAATGAAAACTGGAAGGGCTCTCAGCAGCTTTGCAGAGGTGTCCAGGAGAGAAATCTTTTCCTTCCTTCCTTCCTTCCTTCCTTCCTTCCTTCCTTCCTTCCTTCCTTCCTTCCCTGAGTTCAGCATCTTTCAATCCTTCCTTCCTTCCTCCCTCCATTTAGCATCTTTCAATCTTTCTTTCTTTCTTTCTTTCCTTCCTTCCTTCCTTCCTTCCTTCCCTGAGTTCAGCATCTTTCAATCCTTCCTTCCTTCCTCCCTCCATTTAGCATCTTTCCTTCCTCCCTCTTCCTTCCTTCCTTCCTTCCTTCCTTCCTTCCTTCCTTCCTTCCCTGAGTTCAGCATCTTTCAATCCTTCCTCCCTCCCTCCCTCCCTCCATTTAGCATCTTTCAATCTTTCTTTCTTTCTTTCTTTCTTTCCTTCCTTCCTTCCTTCCTTCCTTCCTTCCTTCCTTCCTTCCTTCCTTCCTTCCTTCCTTCCTCTCTCTATTCTTTAGATCTTGCTTAGTTTGAGGTAGAGATACTGCATGGGATTTTTCCCCTTTCAAGGGGTGGGAAGAGACACGTGGTTGTCCTGTTTTTCATTTTACCGGCCTCTCTCCGGCCATCTGAAGTCTCCTTGGCTTCCCCATCCAAGAGGAGATCTGTGAAGGATCTCTTTCAGTTAGGGAAGAGGCTGCCAAGAGATGGAGAGAGATGAGGAACAGGGAGGCTGCAGAACGAGTGACGGGGAAGAGGCAACCCTCTGCCTAGTCCTGGCTTCTCACCCTTCCATCCAATCCAAGGGGAGAACTCGGCAAGAAATCCCATCCAGAGGCATCCCAGCTGGGAAGCATGGATAGCCAGAGAGGATGCAAAACGAATGGTAAGGAACAGACAATCTTCTCTCCGGCCATCGGTAGCCTCTCTGGCTTCCCATCCCTGGGAAGCGGTGTAGGGTTTCCTGCCTAAGCAAGGGGTTGGACTAGAAGGGGTTGGACTACAGAGCCTTGGTACTACAGTGGTTTAAAGCACCCTGTTATTAACACAGCTGCCTGCAATTTACTGCTGGTTCGAATCTCTCCAAGGCTCAAGGTTGACTCAGCCTTCCATCCTTTCTAAGGTAGGTTAAATGAGGACCCAGTTTGTGGGGGCAATAAGCTGACTTTGTATAAATATACAAAAGTATGAAGGCTATTGCTTATTGCTTAACACACTGTAAGCCGCCCTGAGTCTCCGGAGAAGGGCGGCATATAAATCAAATCAAATCAAATCAAATCAAATCAAATCAAATCAAATCAAATCAAATCAAATCAAATAAATAAATAAATAAATAAATAAATAAATAAATAAATAAATAAAAGGTCCCTTCCAACTCTGTTGTTCTATTCTAAGAGAGGATGAGATCCTCACATTTTGGGGGAGAACTTTTGAAAGATTATAATGTCCTTCTAATGTCCCTGGAGAGAGGAGTACTCAGGATGTGGCTGGAGGAGCTCCGATAATTTGGCTCCAGATTGTGAACCATCTCACACACACACCCATTTCAACTTTTGGGTGACCCTCACATGAATTGCACTGCTTCTCAGAATGCCTTAGATCACAATTCATTCGTCTCAACTGCCCTTTTCTCTTTAATAAAAAAAAAATCATTTACAGGGGACAAAAGAAAATGTTTTTCTCCCCGAAGAGGAAGGAACGGAGTCTCCATTATTAGCCTTTTTTTTCGTGGGTTTTAATCTCGGAAGCAGCAGGCTGGTGGAAGGCAGCCCAGCGGTGAGGAAAGCGGGCCGGGGGAATCTTGGCTGCCTCAGTTTCCCATGAGCCAGTCTCACGTCACGTACAAATGAGAGAGGATGGTGGCCTTCCTCTTTTAAATCTGTCCCTGCAGACATTTTTCTCTCTCTTTTTTTCCCCCCCCCGTAATTATTTCTGAATCGTGGCCCACTTGCTCTCGTTAAGTAAGGAAAAAGAAAACATCGTTGGAAGAGCTGCGCTTAACCATTGTTGCTTTCAGAGAGAACAAGAGAAGAAATCCTTAGTGGTTTTAATGTGGGGGTTGGTCTTCCCTGCACAGAACCCCTATTCCTTTTTGAAAAATAAAAAATAAACTATTGTCTGTAATCGGGGTTTTTTTTTTTTTTAGATCACTGGATAATGAGTTCTTTTCAGATGATGGTCAAGCAGACGTTTCTGTGGGGGAAAAAAACCCCATTTATCAAGGACTCTTTTTTGCAGGCTTTCTAAATAGCCTCCTGAAAGCTTCCAGGTTGGGAAGACAATCATTTTTTTTTTTTTTGTCAGCTACTAGATGTTCCTTTTCTGCCTCTTTTTTTCATTCCTTTTGTGAAAGGAAAGAAACTCAAGAGAGCTGCCTCCCCTTACCCCACACCTGAGATGAATCACGAGATTCCCCTCTCTCCCTCCTTTTATTCTTTTTTTTTCCCCCCCGGGTAAATTTTTAGGATGGGTTTTTATACAAAGAACATAAAATTGAAGCCGAACTAATAAATGGTAAAAGTAGTTGGGAAAAGGAAGGAAGATGAAAGGGAAAAGAAAAAAAAAGAAGAAGAAGAAAGAGCAGAAACTGCAGAAAGAAAGAAGAAAAAGAATAATAGAACAGAATAAGAGAGTTGAAAGGGAACTTGGAGGTCTTCTAGTCCAACCCCCTGCTTGAGCAGCAGATCCTACCGTTCCAGAAAAAAGGCTGTCCAGTCTCTTTTTAAAAATTATATATACATATACATCAGTGGTGAAATCCAATTTTTTTTACTACCGGTTCTGTGGGCGTGGCTTGGTGAGCGTGGTGTGGCTTGGTGGGCGTGGCAGGGGAAGGATATTGCAAAATCTCCATTCCCACCCCACTCTGGGGCCAGCCAGAGGTGGTATTTGCAGGTTCTCCAAACTACTCAAAATTTCTGCTACCGGTTCTCCAGAACCTGTCAGAACCTGCTGGATTTCACTCCTGATATACATTTATACGTATATACATATATACTTATATACATATATACATATATGTTTTTCCTCTAGCCAGGTTTTTCCTACATAACCAAGGTTTTTCTGGTTACGTAGGAAAAACTTGGCTAGAGGAAAAACACACATAAATCCTACGAAGAAGTAAGAAAATAGATATACATATAGACATATAGACATATAGACATATACTGTATACATATATACATATATACATATATACATATATACATATATACATATATATATACACACACATATGTCTTTTTTTTTCTATCGAAGCACCTGGTCTACCCCAATATGGGAGGCAGCATACTGCTCGAATCCGAGTAAGGGTATGGCTAGCTGATGAGAGCTAAAGAGCTTGAAATAGATCTATACTAGTCTCCCTTTATTTCTTTATCAGCAAATATAAATTTTATATACATAGAAAGATAGATCGATAGATCGATAGATAGATATAACCCATCTGGCTGACAATCTTAACTGGAGCTTATTTTGGGGGGTACAGTTTATATTATGATCATCCTGAAAAATCACGCTAGGGCTTATTTTCCAGTTGGGTCTTATTTTCGGGGAAAACTGTGTGTGTATGTATGTATGTATGTATGTATGTATGTATGTATGTATGTGTATATACATATATATATATGATGAAGCAGCTTCCAATTTCCTTTGCAGCCAAAATAAGTTGAATTACAAAATTATCCCTTACTCTAAGATTCTAAAATAAAAAACCTTCCCTACGTTTATTTTTAAAAGCATGGAAAGGAGAATTGCCGGGAGAATAAAATACATATGACTGGAATGGGGCCTGCCTATTATGGTCGTATCTTCCGATTGTCGTGAAATGGACTGGTCATGTGATCAACCCGATTTTATTGTCTTTGGGGCACTTGTTAAGCTCTGCTCTTTGTATCCTGTAATACTTTACATTTCACTCACGATGTTTTTCCCCCCTCCTGCCATACAAATATATCCTTCTGCCATTGTTTAAGTGGTACATCAGTTATCAAAACAGGTATTGTCTGAAACAAAAACGACATTCTAGTTAAAGCGTCGTGAATTTGAATTTGCATAGAAGAAAGAAGGAAGGCTGAATAACCAGAAGAAAGATTCCATTTCTATTTTTATTTTTGCATTCTTGCAAGCAAGGCTAAGAGATTGGATGGCAATTCAAAAGCCATCCAGAAAAACGCAAATTATCTCTTCAGGATATTTCTGGACTGGGATACACCAGCCATCAACACACACAAAGAGATAAAACACATTTACACACCATGGGATAGAGACAACAAAAAGCTAAGGAGGAAACAAAAAGACCAGAATACATCCTTTCCAGCCATCAACCTCCAGATAAGAAGGGATTAACCCCAGACAAACAATCAAACAGAAAACAATACTCTAATCAAGGAGAAAAACACACTCGTGCCAAAATTGG